TGACACGAACATTAGCCTCAGGTCAAAAACCAGCCATTCAGCCCACATGCCATTTCCAGACCAAACTGTTTGTACCAGAGTTTGACTCCTCTGGTTCCTGACCCTTTGCCAAGAGCATAGGGTGATGGAAGTGTCACACCACAGTAACTAGCTTGTCTGACTGTAATATTTGATCATCCTTCTTCCTTACCATCTTTTCTCCATGCCTCAAGGAGCATGCAAGTCTTTTTTTTGTGTTTCATTCCTCATACAAAGGATAAGTTTTGACTTGTAAATCCTTCAAGATTTTTCGCTGCATGGTTGAATGCGAGATGCATTCTCATTAACACTGCTACACTCCAAAAAATATCCTGGGAACAAAGGAGAATGCCCACAGCATGAGCTGACTGTGGACTTTTCTCTGTTTGTCTTAGGCTTTTAAAGGGAGTCAATCACCACAGTATCTAAGCACTTTTAAAGGGCCACGTGCTTAACCTGTGTACCTTGAGACAGATGTGTACTATTTTACAGCTGGGATCAGCTCCTATGGATATGATCATCTCTCTCCTCAAGCAGTCCATAAACAGGGAAGTGACCTTTGATACAAGTCTATTTTACTGTTTGTGTCTAGGAGAACTCTTTTGTTCTAGCTATAGCTTTTCAACGTGGTAAAGTAAATGGACTTGAGAAGATAGTGATGAGACCTATTAGTGGTAGGGAGGTGGGAGTGCTTCATTTTCTTACTGATTGGCACAGACCCGTAGTTCAAATATTGTAATGATTTTGCTCTGCGTTTCTAGTGTCAGCATGAATGCATGAGACCTTGTTAGATAAAAGCTCTTTTTCTTTTTGTCTCCACAGCACTTCACAGAGTTCCTGGATGAGTTTTCACAGGATGTCCTAGGCCACCTTTTGAATGACCCCTTCTTGTCTGAGAAAAATGAGATGATGGAGGTGGAGCTCTCCCCGGCTTCCCCAGCTCCTCTCATCCAGGCAGAACACAGTTACTCCTTGTGTGGAGACTCTCGCCCCCAGTCACCCCTGACCCATGTATCAACTGATGACAACTTCAATGAAGGTAATTTTGATGTGCCTGAATTGATGTTGGCCCTTGTGAAAAACAAGCCTAGGGTCGTCCTGAGTTGCAATAACATAACTTGAAGCAAATTATGGAAATGCTTTATGCACACATGATCATGTGGTGTTTGCAGGAAATTAGAATGGCTACAGATAACTTGGGAAGAAGGATACATCTTTGGAGTCAGAACTCTGTAGAAAAACTCAGAAATTCTTACCAAGTGGGGGAGTTGTTCTTACCTGTGGCTACTAGAATTCAGTTTTATGCAGCGGGTTTATGAAGAGAGTTTGGAAGTAGAATAATAGGTGAACGTGTCCCAGTGGGAGGGAGTCTTCAAATTTCTGAGTGTAGAAGAGATCTTTGCAGATTTACATCTTATCAAGTCAAAATTTCCAGAGGTGTCCAAAGCAAGACTCTTATCCAATACTGAGCACTGGGAACTTTCAGATGCTTGGTAGCACTGAACCTGGCCACTAATTTAGGAACCTAAATATGCCGAAGTCTGGAAAAACTGGGTCACTAATTTAAAATTTAACATACATTGGAAAAGAGGAAATATAAAAAATATGTAGAGGCTAATGAAGTATGCAGTGTAGGTTCTTGGTGGGCTACTGAGAGATGTGAGAATAAAAAAATAACTTCTCCAGGAATTTAAGAAATAAACAAGAACATTCGCTGCAGGCTCTAGCTGGATGTAAATTGATGACGGCAGCGTTAAACCAAAATGGGTTAATGCTGGAAGGAAGCTGAGATGAGTAAGGAGTAGGGCTGTGGGAAGCTTCCGTTCGTGATTTGATTCGGCCCAATTCAGTGGCGAATCTCCGAATCCAAATCAAATCAGAGGACCCTTTAATCTCTCCAAATCGAATCAGAACCCTCTGAATTGATTTGGAGATTTGGACATAGAGACAGCTTTAAATGTTTTTTCTACATACCTCTAGGTAGCAGGGGCTTGTGAGTGCTGCAATGCTGGGGCGCATGGAGTGTCCCACAGATGTGCGGGGGGCTCCCCAGCACTCTTGGCAGCGGACCCGGAAGTGGACCAGAAGCACTTCTGGTCCACTTCCAGGTCTACTGGGTGGGGCACCTGGGGTCCCCCCATGGCTGATCGCCAAGCTGGGTAGACATGGGAAGGGGGTGGGGCACCCAGCATGCTGCCTGGCAGACCCAGAAGTGGACCTGAAGTACTTCTGGTCCACTTCCAGGTTAACTGCCAAGCATGTGGAGGGCTCCCCCTGCATTCCTGTAGGATGCTCCATGCACCCCAGCATTGCAGCGATCATGAGCCGCATCTGTGACCTCAGGGTATGTAGAAAAATCTTTTAAAGCTGTGCCTATGTCTGAATTGCTCATTCTCCAAATTGGCATCGAATCTTCAGATTTGGATTTGGCCAAATCAAATTGGGGACAGTGATCAGAATCAACCAATTGAATTGCTGTCCCTGATAGGGGTCAAATCTGAATTTAATAGGGCCCGCTTTGCACACCCCTAGTAAGGAGGACTTTTATTGGGGAGTGGGGAAAATACTGGAGAAGATGCAAGTCTTTCAATAAACAAATTAACCTCTTTAGTCATATCTCTGCCAGCTGAGGATCAGGCCTGACAATTCCGTAGTTGTGGAGCAACTGAATGTCTACAAGAAATTGGCTTTTTACAGAGCAAAATGTAGGCAAGAGTTATAGACAACTGAAGGTATCTAGATGGTTTTGGTTGCAATAAGTAGGACTTCACAGCGTTTATGAGTAAGACATGATGAATGGCAGCAACTTTTCTTGAGTGTCAAGTGGTCCAGCCATTCAAATGAAGAGCTGGGAGGGAGTGTGAAGAAAGCATAAGGGTGTGAAGGGATGAAGGAAATTTCAGCTTCATCCTTCCTGTTCTGGTGTGAAGATACCAGCAAGCAAGAACTGGAGTTCCAGATAAAAGCTCTGGCACCCAGGGGTCGGGCAGAGCATAGGACCAAGAATAACTGTTGATTACTAGGAACAATTGTCATGACTGACATTTGACATTGACTCCTAATAATCAGTTTACTTTTTCTTAGTTACCTTTGCAATGAAAAGCACCGGAATTGTAAGCCTTTTTTTTTTTTTTTTTTAACAAAATGAAGTTGGTGCGTAGGTAGTATTAGCAGGCTAAGCTGTTTTATAAGGATCCACCAAAACCAAACTGAGTTTCCAAAGGTTCCATGTTTTGTAGTCATTAACTCGAAAATAATCCAGCTGAATCTCCACAACGGCTCAAAGTCACCCATGGGCGACTGGAGCCCCCCCCAGCAA